TCAATTAAAGTTAAATCAAACTACTCCCTAAAGGTACCTGCATAGTGGGGAGAAGAGTCTGATCACTGACTTCAGTCTGGCGTTGTTTGGCTCCAGGAGAAGAGCCTGATCACTGACTTCAGTTTGGGGTTGTTTGGCTCCAGGAGAAGAGCCTGATCACTGACTTCAGTCTGGGGTTGTTTGGCTCCAGGAGAAGAGCCTGATCACTGTCTTCATTCTGGGGTTGTTTGACTCCAGGAGAAGAGCCTGATCACTGTCTTCAGTCTGGGGTTGTTTGGCTCCAGGAGAAGAGCCTGATCACTGACTTCAGTTTGGGGTTGTTTGGCTCCAGGAGAAGAGCCTGATCACTGACTTCAGTCTGGGGTTGTTTGGCTCCAGGAGAAGAGCCTGATCACTGTCTTCATTCTGGGGTTGTTTGACTCCAGGAGAAGAGAACACAGCCTGGATGCTCTTCAATCTCAGCCTCTCATGCTGGAAGACATGGAACCAAGTTTATCCACACAGCCTTCAAAAGGTACCAATAGCTTCTATGTAGTTCAACAATTTATGAACAGTTCTAAATTGTTTAACATTCAGTGCAGTTTGTCAGTGCTGTCAGTGTAACCTCACATTAATACGTCAGTGAGGAAAAAAACGAAACCAAGGCCTACACTAAACTGGAAGGAGATTGATCTGTATCTGATTGATACACTATCTATAAACGTATAGTTTATTATTGCATAATTTGTCAATACATCGTTGCATTTGGCGACAGCATAATGACGATGACTATGAATGAGGAGAGAGGTCAGTCATACCCTGGTCTGTACTCCAGATTACTATGAATGAGGAGAGAGGTCAGTCATACCCTGGTCTGTACTCCAGATGACTATGAATGAGGAGAGAGGTCAGTCATACCCTGGTCTGTACTCCAGATGACTGTGAATGAGGAGAGAGGTCAATCATACCCTGGTCTGTACTCCAGATGACTATGAATGAGGAGAGAGGTCAGTCATACCCTGGTCTGTACTCCAGATGACTATGAATGAGGAGAGAGGTCAGTCATACCCTGATCTGTACTCCAGATGACTATGAATGAGGAGAGAGGTCAGTCATACCCTGGTCTGTACTCCAGATGACTATGAATGAGGAGAGAGGTCAGTCATACCCTGGTCTGTACTCCAGATGACTATGAATGAGGAGAGAGGTCAGTCATACCCTGGTCTGTGCTCCAGATGACTATGAATGAGGAGAGAGGTCAGTAATACCCTGGTCTGTATCTACTCCAGGGCCACTAGGCTGTTGTTGCTCTGCAGGTTCAGAGAGTCAATGGTCTCCTGGCAGACCTGGACCTCTCTCCTCAGGATCCTCTGGGCTTCAGCGCTCGGCCTGAGCTTCTAGTCGACCTTGACCCTCCGCTCCTTCCTTTTTCCTCTGGGACACTCCTCCGTCCACCTGGACTAACAACCTTAAGTAGAATCACAGGGTAGCATTAGAGTATTTTGTGTAAAAGCTGTGTGACAAAAAAAGCCAAACCAAATCCATTTAATCCCAACTTGTAACACAAGATAATATTTTAGGTCCCGATTAGTTGACTGAGAACGCTCCAGTGAGAACCTAAAAACATAATTCGCAGTGTTTGTGAAGTCTTCCTTCCTTACATCCATACGTTTTAACTAGAATGATGCTCATAAGTATAATATTTTGTTATTGTAAAGAGCTTTGCCTCACAAACAAAATGCAAATGCTTTTCACATCTGTTCAACGCTGGGGTTTATGAACACTTTCCTTGGTGGTTAACACAAAGCGTAGCTTAGGCTATATTGGTTCAACAAGTTGGACTTTTTGAGACAACATGGCATGTTTTCCAACCACTTACCATTTGGTAGATACATACACTTCTAACAGAAATAATCTTAAATGTTAACCAATATCCACAGTAAAGTATCCAACATAAAAGTATCTATTTACAAGTGTTTATGAGCCTGAAAAGTGACATTGGTAACTGTTTCGCTTGGACGTTAACTATTTATCTTAGTTGGAAGGAATTGTACTTTGCTAGAAGTGTGTCACCAATGCCTTATCTAGCACAGTTCATGAAAATAGCCGAATATGAATCAAACACAAAAGTATTTAGGCTTTCTAACCATGGGGGGCATCAGTCTCTTTAAGAGGAAGTGTAGAGTATAAACAAGTTATCAAATGATATTATCATGAGTTCCATTCTCCTCCTCCAGCATTAATCACGAGTTCCATTCTCCTCCTCAAGCATTATCACGAGTTCCATTCTCCTCCTCAGCATTTCACAAGTTCCTTCTCCTCCTCAAGCATTAATCGCGAGTTCCATTCTCCTCCTTCAGCATTATCGCGAGTTCCATTCTCCTCCTTCAGCATTATCGCGAGTTCCATTCTCCTCCTCCAGCATTATCATGAGTTCCATTCTCCTCCTTCGGCATTATCATGAGTTCCATTCTCCTCCTTCAGCATTATCAATGAGTTCCATTCTCCTCCATTCCAGCATTATCATGAGTTCCACTCTCCTCCTCCAGCATTGTAACGAGTTCCACTCTCTCTCCAGCATTATCACGAGTTCCACTCTCCTCCTCCAGCATTGTCACGAGTTTCTATACACATAAACAGGAGAACTGAAAGTAAAGAACTAAAATAACTGAAAGTAGAGGCAGTTCATAGAAAAGTCACATTCACAGTTTATTTGAAAGGACTTTAGGTGTGCTCGATCTAGGAACAATGGAAACAACGGAAGTGTGCCAAAAGTGCAAACACTGCCTGCTGTTATCATGAGCTAAATCATGAGTCAGCTTGTAGTATTGAAATTATTTGAAAATACATATTTGACCCAGGTCTGATTCACATATATAGCTATTAGCCTAATGTACAAATCTACACATCAATGCATACCTTCCTGGACATGGCCTGTAGCTGGAAAAACCTGTTCTTCACTACCTTCCTGTTCATGGCCTGTAGCTGGACCAACCGTCCTTCAGGCTGCTGTCTCAAACTCATCCTGTTGGCCTTTAGCAGTGATCATCTCTTCTTCCTTTATGGACAGAGTTCTACCAAGGAACTCACTGTACCTGCAGAGTACAAATACAGTATTGATTGGGATAATATCTATCCTCAGATCTCTGCAAGTACATATTAAATTTGGGATTACGGTCTCAACCACCAGTTTAGGGTTCAAACCTATGGTTGATAAGTCTGTACACACCAGAAGAGATCACATAATCCTGGCCTCCTCTAAGTTTCTCTCCACTTCTCTCATCGTTCGTAAGTGATAGACTCTGTTGTCTTCCTCCTCATGTCCAACAGCATTATCTGTATATCTGAAGAGCTGTGTTTGAGGCTCAGACTCAGACAAGGCCACCATGCAAGATTAGATCAGTTTTGGTCTTATACCAGATTGTCACGGATTCTGCCGAGGCTGCTCCTCCTCCTTGCTCGGGCAGGCTTCGGCGTTCGTCGTCCCCGGAGTACTAGCTACTGCCGTTCGATGTTATCGTGTTTGTTTAGTTTTGTCTGATTGTTTACACCTGTTTCGTCATTATGTTAATTGTTTCCCTTATATTACCCGTCTCTCATCTGTTTTTATTACCCGTCTCTCTACTTTGTGTGTGATTGTTTTCCTCTTCACGGTTGTCTATTTTGTGAGCGGGTTATTTCCTCCCTGCGTGGAGTTATTTTCTGTGTCCTTTTGGATCCTTTTCGTATTAAAAGTAACGTATCCGAGAGTTCTGTGTCCTGCGCCTGACTGTCGTTTACCGCATCTCACAGACAGTCGTGACACAGATGGTAACATTACGTGCAGTCTTTATATCAATTTCAATGTTATCAAATGATTCATTCCTAACTCTGACCAAGTTACTAAGGGTTAACCTCATGCTCTATGTCTTGGTGTTTCTGTCTCAGAGTGAGTTGCTTCTCTGTCCAACAGGGCTCCGAACCCTCCACGTTCAGGACCCCACCCAGGGCTGGCCCTCTCAGCCTGTGGAGCTCCTCTCTAGCCTGGTTATTTACATTTACATTTTAGTCATTTAGCAGACGCCTTATCCAGAGCGACTTACGTTAGTGAATACCAATTTTTTTTTTTTTTTTATACTGGCCCCCCGTGGAATCGAACCCACAACCCTGGCGTTGCAACGCATGCTCTATCAACTGAGCTACATCCTGCGGCCATTCCCTCCCCTACCCTGGACAACCTGGGCCAATTGTGCGCCACCATGAGTCTCCTGGTCGCGGCGGCTGCGACAGAGCCTGGATTCGAACCAGATCTCTAGTGGCACAGTTAGCACTGCGATGCAGTGCCTAGACCACTGCGCCACTCAGGAGCAGCTGTACTCTTCTCCTGCACCTCCTTCTCCACCTCCTCAGATTCCTGGCCTCCTCTGACAGACGCACTATCAACTCCGCCTTCAATCAAGAACCCACAGAGAAGTTTGTCAGATGACCAA